TATGTATTTACATATCTCACACACAAACTTTCATATTTATACACAAAATATTTTGATGCTTTAGGCATATATGTGAAAAGATGTATTAACTACATTTTTACAAGTGATATAGTCCATTTTTTAATGTGATATTAAAGATTTGAGTGTTGTGTACACAAATATGAAAGCTAAGGTGTGAGATATGTAAATGAATTAGAGTTGTGTGCCATGTATATACATGCCCCAATTATAATACTAAAATTTAAGACCATTACAGGTATAAACATACCGAATCCGCAGCAGCTTGCAAGGTCACATGGTCGCCCCACTCACCACTTCTGCTTTGTTGATGTCAAAAAAAAAAAAAAAAAGGAAATATGAAAGGTATATTATAATTTGCCACAAGAATTAATGTGGAGGGATTCATTAATTCAACCACAAAGGTTGGGATAGTTTGATGATGAGGACAAAGATTAAGATGAAAAATAACAATTTTCGGCGAAAAAGTTGCAATGGGAAACAGATCATACTTGGATATTTTTCTCAAATATTCATCATAAGCCATGGGAACATATCCTTCGTAGACATCAGGGTGGGATTTGAGCTGCACATTGCTAAAATTTAGAGTTTAAATGCAACTTAAACCTACAAGATAGTCATAGCAGATAAGGAAAGTTACTAGTATGAAAGATAAAAACAGAGTATAAAATCAACAAACCTGGTCAACAACTTGTTGTCTTACAAACTTATGATGTTCAGTAGTTCGATAGAATTGATCAGATAGTGAACGAAACTGAAAAAGTGCGACGATTCAACAAATAAGCTTCAGAAGACAGCTTAAAATTCAAAATTAAAATTATCACTTAAAAATAATTGCAGATATGAGAAAGCATGCTAAACTAAAGATAGACAATCCCAGTTTCCGTCACGCAAAAATGAGAAATATTGATTGTATTCACTTCCATATGCTCTTTTCTGTTTAGTTTTTAAAAGAAAATAAAATAATAATAAATAAAACATGGTTGACAACACTGATTATATATTAGTGAGAGTAATAGGATGATTAAATATTAATGAGACAAATTATATGATAAGATTTTAAAATTAAGATCACTAAGATTTTATTAATATTTATATTTAATACGAAATGTTATATTAATTTCATAATTATATTTTTAAAAATTTATTATTAACTTATATATCGTCAAGTTTTATCGTATTTTGAAAGTTTTTTTTTTTCTAGCTAAGTAGTCTCTTGTGAAGCACATGCATCGGCCAGAGGCCTTGATCAAACTAAGGAACTGGATTCGAGTTGCCATTCTTCATATTTTTTTGCATAGATGTATAATCAACAATCTATGGCTCAGATTAAATTTCAACTCTAACAAGAACTACTCACCAAACTCCTCTGTTTCATCGGTTCACCGTCCTTGTCTCTCTCAAAATCTACAAATAAGGATCAAAAAGCCTCCCTCGAAATCCATAAACAAATCATATTTATGCTCATTTTGGGACCATTTTGGATTTTGGATTCATAGAACATCCTAAAGCTTTGATAAGTTCAGACTAAACTCCAAAAATTCTTCTGATCATACTTATTTTGCCAGTAATTTAACTTATTAATTGATCTTCCATTAGAATTTAGAATAAATGGGCATGGGTCTGCCAAAACCCCATCAAGGAATAAACGGATTTAAAAAAAGATCTTCCATTAGAATTTAGAATAAATGGGCATGGGCATAAACGGATTTAAAAAACAAAAACAGGTTATTAAATGAAACTATTACAGTATTTAAGTTTGGGATAATTAGTTTATTTGCAGATAACCACTAACAATTAAATAAGATTTCACGTCAGATTATTAATGTTTTATTAGTAATAAATTAAGATAAACAGGATAATATCACTAATAAATCAATTAATTAGTAAAATTAATTAATCATTAATTTATGTCTGATTAACTAAGAATTAATTAGGATTAAATATAGATTATTAAGATTTTATTTGTGTTAACGATGTTAGTTAAGTATGGTTAATTAAAACGTGATCAAATTTTAAGTAGGCTGATTAAAATTACATTAATTGATATTAGAATATTAATTAATCTAAGAATTTAATTAGAACTTAGTGATTATGATGATAAATAGGATTAATTAGGGCTTAAATAAGGATTAATCAAAATAATTATAATTCAAATGAATTAAATAAAGATTAAATAGATTTAATTATACTGCATAAGCATGGATATTTTGTTTACATTTTTTTTACTGTCAAACATGCTGGTTTAAACAAAACAAAAGTAATAAACCCAAAAAATGGTAAGAACCATGAAAGGATTATCATTCAGAGTCTCATTAAATTCAAAGTCAGGTCATGCTTCATATGAGAGTTCGTGCATAATGTTTGGTACAAACATCAAATCATAAAAAAGAATAAATTAAAATGACATGTTGATACAATAGTTTGCACCCAAAAATATTATTGTTAAGCATCGCTTATAATAAATTATTTTCATATTTAACAGAAGTAAAAAAAGAAATTATCATTTTTACATCGAATTGAAGGTTTTAAGCAACATATCTTTGAATCCAGAGCTGCTAGAATTGCTTTTATAATATTGAGTAATGCGTAGGAGGTTCAGGCAAAAGCACTGGATGTTGTAATGTAATGACAGAAAGTTTTCAAAAGACGGTTAAATGCAGCAAGAAAAATAAAGAAAAGATATCCATACAACCACCAACCATAAAAAATCACAAAAATCATTTTATTTTATTGACAAAGCCTCTTCTTAGAGATAAGTAAACAAACACAGATGTTTAATGCTTCCCTCAACATTAAGTTTTATGACTAAGTATTATCAACAAGGTTTACCATTCTTACATCTAACCTCAACATGAATATTGATAAAACAAAGGGGCATTGCATACATACCACATAATTCTTGTTTATGATTATTACACATCTAACACCTATACTTTAATATTTACATTTTATTATTACACATCTAACACCTATACTTTAATATTTTCATTCATAACACTCAAATCTTTAACATCACATAAAAAATACCACTTCGCTAACTTTCTAAAAAATCAAATGCACCTTTTTATTCATAGGTTTATAGCGCCAAGTGTTATAAAAGTAAATATAAAATTTCAGATCTTAGATATGTAAATCCATAAGGTGCCTGTGATATGTATGTAAATTTCCCTAAAACTAACTAGTAAAATCTAAGGGCACGTACCTGACAGTTCCCATCTCCTTGAACCTTAAGTTCGGCCAATTCATACAGCTTCAACCTGTAAAAAACATAAAGAAAAAAAATACTACTATTACTGCTACAATTCAATCTCATTCGTACAACAAAAAATTCATTTAGAAATAAAGCAGATTCTGACAAAAACATCATCTAGATTGCTATACTATACCTCTCAAGAAGCCTTTCATGGTCAGATGTAGCTTCATCAACAGAAGGAATATCTCCATTAATTCTCGGAACATGCTGTACATAAATAAACATATAGCTATCACAAGATTATAAATAAATAAAATTCCTGAACCTAAAAATTACAAACAATTTAATCATTTATCAGTCCAATAATAGTTTATCCAGTGAAAATTTCCAGAAAAGTAAGACATGCAGCACATTAACAGCTTCCAAAAATGAAACACTCATAAGAAAAGAACATTTAAGCAACAACATCCTCATCACAAAAAACGATCAAGTTCTTCAGCTTTTCAGGATAAAATACATAATATTTGAGGAAGCTCTAAACCAGATGAAAAAAAAAATTGTATGATAAAACTTACAGGAATGGGAACAATTTTATCCAATCTTTTCCCTACTTCACCATCTAAAGAAGAGAAATCATCTGTAAGTTCCAATGACCATCTTTGACCTTCAGGTATATTCTCAACTTGGCTAGAAGATGCAGAAGAGAGTTCGGCCCCATTGAACCCTTCAAGCACGTCGTCATTTTCAATAAGGAGATCCTCATTTTCTACGAGTTAGATATAAATATGATAAAAATTAGAAGATTGGTTTAATCATATAAACTAAATTCCCATACAGCTTTATCTAGATTTTACGTGTTTATAACTAAATATTATATGTGTAAGAAGTTATATTAGGAACTAATTTATTCTTGTTAGGATTTATGAGGATTAGATTTATTTCCTAATATAAGTTTATTTCCCGGTATCATTTAGATTTATTTTCTTGGATTGGATTTATTTACTTTCCTATCTTAGGCTTTCATATTTTATGTTGTTTCATTTATCTTCAAATATTTAATATGAATTGATTAATTGGAGATATTAAGTTTTATATTTTTCCTTTCCTGTAATTATTATCATTTTTTATCGTTTTTCCTATTCTAGGATTCATGTAAGAGTTATTTATGCCACATTTTATATC